TTGTTTGTTCTCTAGCAGTCCATGGTATATTCAATACTCTTCTCTAGCACCACAGCTCAAAGGCATCAATTTTCCTTCTATCACCCCTAGTCATTTTCCAGCTCTCTGATGCATAGCAAGTAATTGTAAAGATCATGGTCTGTATCAGGCACACTTTTGTCCCCAGACTGATATTTATTGCTCTTCAGTACTTTGGAGAGATCTCTGACAGCAGACTTTCCCAGTGAAATTCATCTCTTGCTTTCCTGGCTGCTGGTACCAAGAGTGTTGACTGTTGTTGTTATGTGCCGTCGAGTCGCTTGCGACTCCTCGTGACCCTATGTACAACAGCCCTAACCTCTGCTCTGTCCTGTGCCAATTGCACTGTCTCTGACACTCCCATCCCAATTATCCCAGTCACTGAATCAATCCACCTCATAGAGGGCCTTCCCCTCCTGCGCTGTCCCTCCACCCTCCCAAACATGATGTCCTTCTCCAAGAACCGGTCTCTCCTCACAACATGTCCAAAGTATGTTAGACGGAGCCTCAGAATCCTTGTCTCCAAGAAGCCACCTGGTTTAACCCTTTCCAGGATGAATCTGTTTCTTTTCCTAGCAGTCCATGGTACTCTCAATACTCTTCTCCAGCACCACAGCTCAAAGGCATCAATTCTCCTTCTATCCTCCTTGGTCATTGTCCAACTCTCTGATGCATAACAAGTGATTGTGAAGACCATGGTCTGTATCAGATGCACCTTAGTCTCCAGAGAGACACCATTGCTCTTCAGTACTTTGGAGAGGTCCCTAACAGCAGACTTTCCCATGGCAATGCGCCTTTTTATTTCCTGGCCTCTGGTGCCAAGAAAACTGAAGCTGTCAACAATCTCAGTCTCTTCACCATCTATCATGACGCTGCCAACTGGCCCAGTGGTAACAATTTTTGTTTCCTTAATGTTGAGCTTCAATCCATATTGAAGGCTGCAGTTCTTGACCTTCTGCAGCAAGCACTTCAGGTCCCCCTCAATTTCAGCAAGCAGGGTTGTGTAATCTGCATAATGCAGATTGCTGATAAGTCTACCTCCAATCCTGATGCCACACTTCTCCTCATAGTGCCTCTCGGATAATCTGTTCCACATATAGATTAAAAAGATAAAAGAGATAGGACACATCCTTGACGCACACCCTTCCCAATTTTGAACCATGCAGTGTTTCCTTGTTCTGTTGTGATAAATGCCGCTCGGTCCAAGTATAGGTTTTGCAAAAGCACAATCAAGTGTTCTGGGATTCCCATTCTTCTCAGAGTTAGCCACAGTTTGTTGTGATCCACATAGTAAAATGCCTTTGCATAGTCAATGAAACACAGATAGACATTCCTCTGGTACTCCCTGCTTTCAGCCAAGATCCATCTGAAATTAGCTGTAATATCCGCAGTGCCACAGCTTCTTCTAAAGACAGCCTAAATTTGAGGCAGTTCCCTGTTGACGTGCTGTTCCAGTCGTTTTTGGATAATCTTCAGGAGAATCGTGCTTGCATGTATATCATGATACTGTTCGACAATTTCCACACTCTGTCGGATCACCTTTCTTTGGAATGAGAGCAAATAGAGATCTCTTCCAGTCAGTTGGCCAGATAGTTGTCCTCCAGATTTCTTGGCACACCTTAGTAACATTTTCTTTCTTTTTTTTTTTTTCTAGAGGAAGACCCTAGATGAGATGGACTGACACAGCAACTGGGGCACTGTGGGTTGGTATGTTGGAATTAGTGAGACTGGCTCAGGATAAGGCAAGGTTCAAAACTGCTGTACACAGGGTCACTATAGGTCCCAGGTGACTCTACGGCACATAACAAAAACAGTGGATCTGAAGCCACCCAGAGGATGCAGTCTTCACTGCAGTCTGTGTAAGAACCAATAATGCATGTACACTCTCATTGTCTTTAAGTGTAGCCCTCTAAGATTCCAAGTCAAAATATGGGTCTGTCACTGCAGCCCCCATCTTTGTAAGTCTTAGGCTCACATTGTTGTCACCATATCTGCAATGTAGTCAAAAGCATTACTCAACCTTTTATCTATTTCTTTTTTATTACCATTGTGCCCAGGATCTGACCACAGTATTTCCCACTACCATGTTAAGAATTCAGTTGCACAATTTATATTTTGCTCAGCTCTATTCATTGTCATGCAGGATAGCATTTTTTTGAATTATTTATTCAGCTAGGTCAATTCCTGGAGATATTTTCAACCTTTTCTTTAATAATACTCTCAAAAGACAGCAAAAACTGTTTAAAAATCTGAAGCTATAATCACAAAGGCCTTACAGAATTTCTAATTGTTCTCTTTCTTCATTTATTTATTTTTGTGCTTAGTTATTTTTTTAACCACAGTTATGTGCTCTTGTAGCATCATTTGACAGAAGTCACCTAAGACCTAAAGCAAATGGATCTTCCTTCCATGAAAATTTGCATTTCCTTCTGTCAGATATCCGCAGACATCATTATTCAACATGAGACTATGTTAGACTCAATTTGTCATTTGAAGTAATATAGGTGATGTGAATTGGGAGGCAAAGTAACTCCAGGACTGGATTACTGTTTCAACTTGTTACAGTGCGCCCAGACATTTTCTTTGCAGTCTCTAAGAGGTGAGGTGAGGCGAGATTCATGATCATGTGAAAGACTAGGCTATTATAGCCTAAGTCTGTGGAGGGAAAAAGACTCTATTAGACTTCATAACTGGGTATCCCGTAGGCTTTGACATTTTGTTCCCTCACTCCACAAAGTGGGCAAAACCATAACTCACATTTGTCAGTGAGGCAAGTGCTCTTGTTACAAGCATGACTTCCTGAATTTTGTTTTTGCTCTGACCTGGAATTTCTTTAATTTCTTCTCAGCTCCTTAATGCTTTAAAGAAAATAGAATTTGCATTATATTCTGCATTCTCTAAGTTTGTACAGAGAGCTGGTTCAAGCACCATAGAGTGCCATTATTTCGGTAAACAGAAGTGGTTGGAATCCTTTTAAAAGCACAGCACATGCAGATAAAGCCTTTAATTTTTGAACAGAGAAACAGAGACTCTAAAACAGCAGAAGGCTCCGAGACACAGAAGTTCAAGAACTTGCCATGAGCCTCACAGCAGGCACACAGCTTGGCAAGCACCACCATATCCACATCCTCCTCAGTCTTCTGATTCCTTTTCTTATGAGATATTTTTGTTTATCATCAATTTACTTCTTTAACTCTAAAGGAGTTTTCAGAATTTCAGAGATCATCAAAGAAGAACTGTGCCAAAGCAATAACAGAAAATGATCAGTGTGATGGGTCAAAAGGAGGCAGGTACAGAACGTAGGATCCATCTTGCCAGGTTCCACCAGTCCCTTCCTGGTCACTTGTAGGCTGTCTTCACTGGGGAGGTACTTGCCTTTGGCTCTAATGATACTGTTACTCCAGGCAGTTTTCCAAACAAAAAGGGAGGGTAATTTATAATCCCTAGTCTGAGATCATAAATACCATCAGTTGAATTCCACTGGAATGTCAGTATAACTGTACAGAATTCTACATAAAGTGAGTCTGTCCTGCTAGCTGAAAAGGGTTTTAGTTATAAATGTAGCAAAAGGATCTTATTGTGGGGAAGTTTAGACTGTTAGGTGGTCCTGAAGTGTATACTCTGAGGACAGCTTTACAGCAAGGTTCCTGACACAGACCATTTAGACTGGAGCAGACTATATTTTCCTCCTCCAAATTATAAAGAATCAGTAGAATTCCAGTAAATTGCCCCTTTGTGAATGAAATAACACTACCTAAATTCTCATACTAAATACCTTCCTTATTGAGACTATTTTACTTTTAGACTGTAATTCTTTCAATCTAAAACAATATTCATGAGATAAAAGTCTTTGAAGGTGCCTGCAGTGCTATCTTCAAGCAAATAAGTGTCTTTTAAAGTGTTAGTATCTTCTGTAAAAACAAAAAATAATCACCCCGTGCTAATAAAAAAATGATGAGAAATTTCACTTAAGGCACATCAAAGCTCTAGCCATTCCACCTAGTCCATTTCTGACAAATACTCATTTTGAGCTTTTCAGCACTCTGTAAAGGATGGATTATGTAGGAGAACTGCCTCCATAGGAGCCTTCCACAATCCATACTGATTAGGCTGCACTCAGTTCCTATAGAGAACCGTGTTGTCTGCTCAAACTCTAGGTATCATCTTGGAATTTTCTCATTCATATGCCCGAGAACCCAGCAATTTCATCTCTGAGGCATCTGCCCCACACAAAAGCAGCTTTTCTCCAAGTGTGGTCCATGAACCAGCATCATCTGCATCATTGGGGAACTGTTTAGAAATATACATGCTAGGGACCCACTCCAGAACCCACTAAATCAGAAATCCAGGGTGAGGTCCAGCACTCTGTGCTTTCAACTGTCTCCTAGGGGATTCTGATGCAGGCTAAGGTCTCAGATCCATCATGTTCAGAGAAATTATTGTTCATTTGTCCTGACACAAGAAAGATTTTACAGTACTAGTCCCTTGTTCACACATACATACATGTGCATAGAGACATGCAGACACACAAGACAACCCTAAAAATACACACACAGAGAGACAGATAGATAGACACAAACACACGCCTGAGACAACTCTGAAACAAATGCCCTTGTAATGAAACGGATGAAGTGTTATAAGGGATCCCTGCTTGTTGTAGTTCATGTGCCTGAAATTATTATTTTATATTTTGTCATAGAATCACATAATATATTATCATTCTTGATTAAACAATTTTGTTTCATGTGGGAAACTGAGAAAACCAAGACTTGAAGAACATACTTTTTTTCTTTTGAAGGCTTCAAGTGAAACAGAGAACAATTTCAATCTCATTAAAAACTCAGAAAAACAATTATTTAATGTTTTTTTGAAAATACTTAAACATGTACATAGAAAGAGTGTAATACAGCTCATTATCTGTCACAGATGATGAGAAAGGACCACAAAGGTTAAAGTTCATAGGTCAGAGATTAATCACATACCTCCTTTTCCAATATTCTAGCGATCTCGCCTAGTGTCCGATCTAAAGCAGAAACTTTATTGTTTGTCCATGAGCCACTGTCTTGTATTTGTAGTTGCTTGAAAAGATCTTTGGCCAATCGCTGAAGTCTTCAATGAAAA